AAAAACGGACAGACGGACGGATGGACACGAATGGACATGGACGGACGGATGAGCGGCCGATCGATTGGCCGTGGCGAGACACGGGTTTGGCGCGCGATGGAAAATCGCGGGAATGCAATGTGAAACGAGCCCGTGAGAATCGCGCGGGTCACCGCTGGGCGGCACGCCACCGTCGCCACTGCCGCCGCAGCGGCGGCGATACATTAAACGGCACTTCGCCGTCCGACGGGTAGCCATTTTGAGCGAATATTCTCGCAACGCGATGCCACGGTCAACCGTACCGCATGAATCGAGCTTCGCGATGGAGCGCCGACGCGTGAATGGTATCGCGCGTACGGCCGAGGACATCAGAGAAAGATTTTCCGTCTCCTGGACGAGCGCGACGACGCCCCCGACGGCCGCCGAGAGTCCCGACGGGCTGATCGAGTCGCGAGAAAACGCCTCGCGCGTATGCCACAACGAGAACGACGTCGAGCGAATCATCGACGAGCCGCGCGTCCGCGATGCCGTTTTCCGCGCGTCGGCCGACGGCACGACGGACGGGAGAGGTCGGCCGCGCGGTTACGTCGGAGCTCGTGCTACGGGCAGCCATCTTGAGGCCGGAATCGCACGGGCCGCGCTTCTCGGGTTCCGTTCCGTTCCGTCCGCGGGGCAACTCTCGGCGCGCCGTCCAGGCGTTTCCGCGCGCACGGCGGTGCGTTTCCGCGCGCGTTCTCCTCCGTCTCTTCTTCGCTACTTCCTTCTTCGTCCTTCACCGTCGCCATCACCTCGTCGCGCCGCTACGCGCGATCCTAGGGCACGGCCCGTAGAAAAAACGAGCGAGCGATGTACATCGCGATACGATGCGGAAAAAGCCCGTGCTTCGTATTCATTTCCCTCTTCTCTTTCTCGCGCGCTCGCCTCGGTCTCGCGGCAGCTTTCTTCCCGGTCCTCGTATACATCGGATAACGACGGCGACGATGGACGGCGCGTGGTTTTTCCACGCACGCACGCACGCACATATGTACGTACGTATGTACGTGCTTGTCGCCTGCGACGAGCCAGGCGGGCGGACGTTACCTGTACGCGGCAGTCCCATCGATAAATCCACAGGAGTACGACGCGGCCACGGGTCCACCGGGTGTACCGTAACACAGGATACGTAATCACGATCACCAATTATCTCGCGACAACGGCGTCACATTTCACACAAATCAACAAAGGTTACCCACTTGACAAAGATGGCGGTCGCGCGGGGGTTACACACTACGCGCACGCGGTGGGGAGCGCACTGCGCACACCGCCGCGCTCCTACGGCTCGCGACGGCGGAAGCGCGAAGCACGGAACGCCGTAAAAGCGTTCCCGTCGACCAATCCCGACGAGGCGTCTTACCCGACACACCGACACGTTCGCACACTACGCGCCCTCGCGGCCCGATCACGTGGCTTCGCTACCGTATAAACTTGCCCGACCGAGAGACGTGTGTATACGTGTGTGCATGCGCGCGCGCACGTGGTGGTGAAACACGCTTTGCACGTACGCGAGGATCGTCACCGCGAGACGAGATCGTGTATTAAATTAATGCGTGCATATGTCCGGCTGCGCGTACAATCGGGCGCATTAATACCCTCGATTATAAAGGCTGAGTTCCACTTAACACTCGCGATTAGCGTTTGTCCTTCTTTAATACTTGACAGACACAACAAAGATGAAATACTCTGAGAGCGTTGCGATTATTTTAAGTGGTGGGTAAAACTAAATTATTCTTCTGTTTACGGCCAATTAAAGTCACGCGCGGAATCGACCAATGTTGCGAGATATGTTCCGAATTTTTTGCATCATTTATATCTTTTCTCTCTTTTTTTTTTAACGTGGAGCTTAGCTTTTTTTACTTCATTTTTTATACGGTTTATTTTTTCTTTTTTTCCTTGAAAGAGAAGAAAAAGAAAAAAGACGAACTGTGCGAGAGATTCAACTAAAAAAGAACAAGCCTAAAGAAGGAAAAAAAATCACGTATAAAATCACATATTAAAAATTTCTCACTTTTTCCAAACATACATATATCTATTCCGAGGGTTCCGTGAAATGCCACGTGGTCATCCCTTTGCAAAAATGAAAAAAGAAAAAAACAGAACGAAATAAGTGCCGACGTTTCACAGAGATATTTTTTCACAACGTACAGTCTTCCTTTAGTGTGCACAGGACGATGTTCGCAGGATCGAATATAACCATTTAAAAAGTTATTTAAAAACCATGGAGAGCAATCTTCACTGTTGCTGAAGAGCGTTAATCTACCCGACTATACATACGTGAACACTGCCGGTTACAGGTGTCGCGCACATTTGTGCGTAGCACCGCGCCGGTGCGTGTGCGTCGCGCGCGAAATATGAATTTACGACGTGCGTCGTGTGCGTTATATATATATATGTGTGTGTGTGTGTGTGTGTGTGTGTGTGTGTGTGTGTGTAAGTGCATATCGCGGATACTGGCGTATCCTCGCGTTGTCCTGGCGCGATGCTGGGAATCAATTGTGTATCTTGAAATGAGAAAATTACAAAAGTGAGGAAATTTACGAAGTTTAGCTTTCGACATGTAAAATTGCAGACACTTTAGTAAATTTTCTCACTTTTGTAATTTTCACCTTTTCGAAAAAGGAAAAAGGAAATTCATGCGGCGACAGCGCATGAATACGCGATTACATCAACTACGACTGACTTTACGTTTGTTCTCCTCCCCGAGATGGATGTCGCACATTTTTTTACTAGAGACATAGAAATATAGACTGTACAAGAATTATAGGTTCATATCTTAAATCCTATTTTATTAATAAAAGAGCTTTTAAAAGTAGCTTATAGTCAATCAGTTCATATAGCACAAACTTTGCAGCAATATTGTTACAATATAACTACAAAATTTGTGTTATATGGAAGGCTTCTAAGTTAACTTTCAAAGGCATTTTTATCGGTAAAAGAGAACTCAAAATATGGATCTTGGATTATACAAATAGAATTTTTATAGTCAAAAGACGCAAATCACTCGAGAGAACTGCCGCGAGGAACATATTCTGTCGCCTCGTTTTTCTTTTTGTTCCCTTACACTTCTTTCATTCGTTGCTTGAAATGCGAAAAGCGTAAAAGGGATCAACTGGAAAAAGATTAAGTGAATGAATGAGTAAATGAATGAATGAATGAATGAGTTGTACAATGTTACATTACATTTCGATGCGGAAGATACTTTTCATCGAAAATATATATATACGCGTGCCTATATTTATCGCCCTAAATGGAAATCGATTGAAAATAGATTCTTCGCACCAACGTGATACTATTCTAACGCGCGCTTACCTGTTTTATTTATCAGAATTAACGAAGCATCATTCTAAGAAGAAACCGATATCAACATCGCTGTTACGAGCGAAAAATAAAACTATCTAATCGCGAGGGAAAGGCGCCAGGTTAATTTCGTACGATCCTGTTGTGCGGCGAGTGACACGCGTTAGTTCTACTGTGTTTATATGCAAAATGCACACGGTATGTCCGATGCAATTTCGTAATGAGATTATTGATTTTTTTTTTAAAGGCCGTCTCTCTTCCGCGCCCGCATCTGTCCTTCTCTCCCTCGCGCTCTCCTCTTCCCGCCCGATGTGTCGCCGTCTCGCTCGAAACTCCGCAGTTCGGCCGCATATCGTACCGTGCACGACGCACGCGTGCAACGTCTCGCATAATTGAATATCCTACACTCCCGGACGGTATCACCCGAGCGAGCGACCGACCGACCGACCAGCGGCCGCGTATGTGGAGCTAACCGGCAAATTCTCGGTGTAATATCTACATACCTCGGTGATTGTATTGATTTTCCCCGACAGTATGTAAATTAGCGGGCCGCGATGTAAGTACGCGCGCGAGGGAGAAATTCTGCGCAGTTTACGTCTCTCTGGACGAATGCTCGCGAACGACATCGTTTCGCGAGACAAATCCGCTCCCGTCAATTGACATTGATGACATTGATCCGAAATCATATCGATCAATCGATGCATGCACCGCTTTCTCCCTCAGATTAGAAACACGAAACACAAAATGAATATCTAAATATCTAAATACATACTAAATTTTAATAAATACAAACAATTTTATAATTTTTTTTTACCTACAATCGCACCCGTGATATAAGCTCATTATAAAAGATGAGGGTAAATTTAAAGTAAAAAAAATCATTGAGGTGTTTATTAAGTACACGATTTATAACTGCTACTGCATTGGCATTGATCACAATTGAAAATCGGGCTTTCCCTCGTAAGTACATCCGGATCTTTGTATGATTTGCGTCGCCGCCCAAATGCCGCATTTTACGCACGTGTCTATGCTTTTACCTTGTATGAGTTGTGCGAGAAAGCCTGAAATAATTTTGCTAATCAATATAATCTGCGAACACTTATTGATCTATCGACAAGGGGAATCTATAACTCACCTCCAACAAAAGCATCCCCGGCACCATTGGTATCTATGACTTTCTCCTCTGGCAGTTTTGTGACGGGATACTCCGTCACTGTTCCATTCTTGGTTAAAAGAACCGCTTCAGCACCTTGCGTTATCACGACGATTCTTTTTCTTTTGTCGTTGATCTTCTCCATTTCTGATATCTTCAGCGCGATCTGTTTTCTGTCCGTCGTGTTAAGATTATTGACCTTCGCAAATGTGTCCGCTTCCGTCTCGTTCCCAAATAGAATGTCCACGTAAGGCAACGCGGCCAACATCGGCGTTTGGAAGAACTCGCATAGAAACGGAGCGCTGAGATTCATCATGAACATCTTGTCGTTCTCGTAAGCGTGCTTAGCTACTGTCTGTATGGACTCTGGACTGACTGTCAGGAAAAATCCCTGGGAAACATAGAATTTCGTGTAAATTCATACAGATTCGCTTTTTTACAAGCTCGTTGGAAAACGCTCGCGTTTACCGATATGTAGATATATCTCGCGATATCTATCAGGTGCTTGTTTTCTGGCTTCTCAATGTGCGATGGTAAGAAGTAGTTCGCCGCTGCCAAATTAGCGCACAAGGAGCGATTCTTTCCCGTAATAAGCACTGCGCACGTCCCGGTTGGCTCTTGATCTGTACATTGATAGCGAACATTTAAACCATCCATAGTCGCTTTGTCCTCCAGAATTTTGGAATATTTGTCTCTACCGACGCAGCCCATGTAAGTGGCGACTTTTGGCTTCTGCAGAAACCACTATACAAATAATACATACAAAAGATTAATTAAACAAGTACTACAAGATCAGAATATGTTTAAATACAAATCATATATTTTTCGGTCGAGATAAAATCTTTGGCGCCTAATTTTTTTGTAAATTTAAATATCGATTATTTACACAGCAATGTTTGATAGCTTTCTTTCTTCCTTTGTCTAGATAAATTTGTAATATAGATATTTCTCGGTAAAAATAAACTCTTAAGTGTCCAATAATCTTTCTTGTATTATATTTAAATGCCGTAATATTTAATATCTGTTTTCCTTTGCTCAAATAAATTTATCCTTACCTGAGCTACTCTCATGGTATTCTGTACAGATCCACCCGCAATAAAGTCTGCATTATATAGATTAATTAATTCCTCGTATAAAGGCTTGTGCTTTTCTTCGGCGAGGACGGCATTGTTGGATTTTAGGTCGTATTTATTTAAAAATTCACGATCTACATTCGCCGAAATGTCGAGTAGAGGATTTCCCATGCCCAGTAGCAGTCCTTCCCTGAAACGTTCATCCGATAGTACAATATAATGTAAATACACTGTAAAATATACTATAAAATACATGTAAATTTTTATTAATGTAAAACAAAAGAACTTTATCAAGACTCTTTCAAAAAGCTGCAATGAGAATAATTCTATATGATTCCTTTATGATTTAGTTTGGTGGAAGTCCAATTAGGATGGCTAAACATATTCTTTCGAAGAATAAATGTAGTCTTTTTGAATCAGAAAAGAAAATAGAAATATTTTTGACCTTTCTTTTAATTTTTTCCGTGAAAACGTACCGTATTTTCTTTTATTTTTGATGTAATTCGAATATAATATATAAAATCATGTGTCAAAAGGATCGACATTAGATTTAATCTTTTTCATTGCACTGATTTGATGATAAAATTAAATAACATTAAAAATATGTATTCATTATTTTTTACTTTATACTTTATTAAATTTTTAGTAAAAATAAATATTGTCGCGTATTTATAACATTAATAAAAAAAATACATTATAATAAAAGATACAATTAATGTTCTTTCGAATTCAACAAAGTAGCGCAAAGTGTTTGGCTATTACGACAAATAAACTGCATGTTGCAGATTCGAATCTTGCTTTTTGAAATTTCTTTTCAAATTTAAATACACAGATTATTATGTAACATACTATAAATAAATGACATATTACCACAATGATATTTCTATTCTCCTTGTCGGCAATGTAACTGTTACGTAAATATATGTATATTAGATTACATGTATATTGCTGGATGAAAAATTATATCGATGTAACATAATATTAATTTATAATATTATTGTTAATTTCTATCTACCAAATGCAATTGCAGTCGAAAATCATCGATAAAAAATGTAAAAAAAAAGAAACCCCTCCATCACATACGCGGTGCTGCCATTTTAAACCGGCCGTATCGAGCTCGATGATGAAATCGCATCGATAAGAATCGACTTCGGCGATTACATAACCTCCATCCTTCCGTGACATACTCAACTCACTATGAATCTAACATCGATTATTCATGGAATTTTTCAATTGAAAAAAGAAAAACAGACATAATACACGCATGTATTTTTTCACAGGCAATCGTTTGTCGTAAGTAATTTACTTCGTCATCGATATCGGAAGACATGCGGCATGCCACACATAACCTTGAAACCGGAGAGCGTCCTGGCTCGTCATAACCTCCGAAGGTGGAAAAATTTTGTCAAATTCTCTCGACAAATCGCGAAAGACATCGAAAAAAAAAATTCCAGCTCAGATTGCCGGTAATGAAAAATTTATTTCACTTACCGTAAGTCCTCGGCCATTTGTCCGTGTTCCTTGAATCAGATTCGCCAAGGATGGTCCGAACACGATGCGATTGCGAAGCGCGCCACCGACGCCCTTCTCGCTTCTTGCGCGTGGAAACGAAAGCGATCTAATAGTCTCGAGTCGACCGCGCGGAACCGACATAAAAAAAACCCATCTCTCGCTTTGGAATATCATTATCGCTGTGTCATCACGATGACAGCGGAGGAGGGAAGGACGGAAGCGTTATCTAAGAATTGCGTAACGAGATTAACGCACATAAGCGATCTATGCTAATTCGTCGCGCTAAATATCTCCATTGAGAACTATTTTGATATAATGTATGTAAATCGCTTCCCGACACGTCCGTTTGAATGGAATAATCGCGTTTCACCGGTATTCCTTATTGCGCCTCGTACCCGGATGCGAGGATTATCTCTTACGTTCACGTTTCGGAGAAGCGAAACGTAACGTGCCGTCGAGAAGAGACCTAATGACATGCGAAACAAGATAACACGATAAGTTCCGTCTGTGTCGTCACACGACTCGAGAAACAGATTGAGATGAGAAATAAGTCAAAGCTAGAATTCTCAAACGTGCAAGACAATCTTACTCCAATATTACGTTATTTCGACTAAATTCTCTCTTTGATTTTTTTCAAATGCAATATTTACAAGATCCACCTTTTAAATATATATGATATATATATATATATATATATAAATGTACGCATTTTACTCGACATTCGAATAACATGATTGACGGATTCTGCAGATGAAAAGCAAGAGTTCTTTATTGCTCGATTACATGCTGAATATTTTCGTCACTTGTACTCGAAAAGTCTCATATTGTCGAGGAAAGAGAGCGGTTGACCATCCTGTAACATACATTTTACATACGAGGCTTTACTTACGGCGCACTTTCGATTCTACACGATAATCCATTGGAACTGAATTGTACGGTAGCGAGTCAGATTTAAACGTCTTGCGAGCGAAATTTTACTTACCGTTACACATTTACACCTGAATATTTACTGATAGTAAAATCGCGCGAAAATATCGGGATCTCTCTCGCTACAGCCGTGTTAAATCATAACATTAAGTAAAACAAATTCAATGTAATAAACCGAGAATATAAATGTTCAAATAATGAAATGTAATAAATGACAACTCAAATCCTGCCTCGTTGAGGCAGAATTTTAGGCGCCTAATCTTATTTTAATTTTTTGAATTTACATTAATGTATATACATAAATTCAAGATAATTCCTTGTATCGACAAATTATTATCCTAACGGAGTTAAATACAATATCGAAGAATTAATTTTGCGATTGGTGAATTAATAAACGCATATCTTTGAAGTTTTTTTAATCAATTGATATTACATACCTTTCGCTAAAAATATAACTCGATTCGATTTTATATCAATTTAACACAGAATAATGAAATTTTGCGATATTCTATCAATATATTCTATCGAACTAAAGTAACAGCATGCTGAAAAAAATTAATTTCGACGAACAGTTTAAAAAGATTTATATCATTTTTCGCTTTTGTCATCATTTAACATGGTGGTAGATCAAAAGAGAGACCGGATGTTTAAACATCAACAAAAAAAAAAAAGATAATATTAAAATCGCTGTAATCTCGATAAATTAAACTTTCAAATAAATGTAAAAAAAAAATATAAGAATTCGCCGTGAATAAGAATTAAGATTACAATTTTACTTTTTCGAGCAAAAAGAACCAGCAAAAACATTAAAATGCAAACGTGATCACTTGAAACGATATCACTTGAACAATCGCATTATTTCATTAGGACGCTCTTGTATCACGTGTCTGATATTTATTTGATATTTTACAGGAATCGCAGCGCGGGGAAAGTATTCGTTCTTACGATACCTTCGTGCTCCCGCCGAGCGGAGAGAGAAAGAGACTCTCGAGAATCTTCCGCTCTAAGGCGAGATTTGGCGTGTTCAAGCACGTCGTAGCGCATCTCAGTTTTGTCCATACTCTACAGAAGATTCCTCTCACGGAGACGGGGCTCTCCCCTAGAGTGAAGAAGAAGCGCCGCTTCTCCTAAGAAGAAACAGGACTCTCAAAGGCGTTCGGGTGGAACACGCGGGAGTTGAATTAATTCGTTGTTCGTTTTTTATTTTATTTTTTTTTTTTTTTATTTTTTCATTTGCTTTCTTACGCCGAACCGATACCGGGAGGACCTTGGGGCCTCGGATGCGGCAACGCAATCCCGATTCTCGCGTGATCTCCGGACTCGCCCTCTCCCGCGCTCTTTCTCGCGGTGTCTTTCGACGTGGTACAGAGTGCTGAGATGGACAATTACCTCTCGTCCACACTACGTCGCTCCTCCACCAGATCTCAACTTCGTCGCTTCTACTTGAAGCTCCCTCGTCTCTCGAGCCCGTCTCGCTCGTTCCTTCGAGGGTAACATCATCCTTCGTGGACGTCGCCGGCGAGCAGAGGGCTATCATCGCGTCCTATATCACATATCATATTACAAAACAGCGTATTACAATTCCTGCTGTCGCGGTTTCTATCGGTTTTTTGCGCTTTTTTTCCGTATGCGGCAAACCGACGATGACCGACACGTGTGTGTGTGTTCGCTTTCTATCACGCGAGATCAAGGGGGTAACCCGTGTGTCCCGGCGACGTGCATCCGTTTTTTTCCGTTATGTACATTTCTCGGGTTCCTGTTGCCGACCGTGTTTCTCAAAAATCCGGTGTACGGATCCGATCGGCGATTCACGATCTCCGTGTCTCTAGTGAGAACTCCGCCGAGAGGGAC